AGTGTTTTCAAGAAAGCATGCGCTCGCGCTCTGGTGAATTCTCAGGATAACTGTAGGTGTTCAACCTGTTCTTCTAATGCTACCGAAAAGTGCCCCATGTGCGCGCGTGTCGAAATCGCTCGAACGCTCTTGCGCGCGTGCTGTCGCAAGAACCCCTTGCAACAGATGGAGCCAAGTGCGGGCGAGCGTCGTCGCGGGCGCATGCCGAAATCTTTCACGAGCCTTAGGTTTCGGAAGGCTTTCAACCTTCGGTGTCCCGACAACATATAAACACCGCATGGGTTGGCAACACCAGTTTTCAAAAAAGGGTGTGCTTTTGCAAATTCTTACGAATCAGATTCGACCGAACAGGCCTTTCGCGCCGCAGGTCGAAATCATTCGAACGCCCTTGCCCGCGTGCCGGGGTGCACAATCTTCGTCAAGTAATACCATGAGGGCCTCGCTCGCGCGTCGGCCGCGCGCGCACGTCGAACTCATTCGGAAACCTTCATCCCCGACGCGAGGACATCGCCATCGTCATCGCCGTGATCATCATCGGCGCCATCATATGCTTCGCCGTCGTCATCGCCATTGTCGTCACTAGCATCGCAGCAGTCATCATCGTGTCAGCCGTTGCCGACGTCGTCATGATATTGCGCCCGCCCGAGTCACCAACTCGCACTGATGTGTCCGCGCGTGAGCTTGGCTTGTGAGACGCGCAGGAAAGTTGCCAGCGGTCAGCGCCACCGCGGCCGCGTCGGTCGCGCCAGACTAGCTGGCCGCTCTGCGCGCGAGCCTGCGCGCGCTAGCGCGGCCGCAGGGATGCGCCTGCTAGCGCCAGGCAGGCATCACAATGGCCGCCGCATGGGTTTTGCCAACCAACTTGCGGGTGGATGGGTGGGTGGGATGATTGCGCGAGCAGTGGCTTGGTTAGGTGTACTACCTAGATTGCACAACGTAGGTCGCACATTATATATCGCACGACGTAGATCGCAACACATGCACTGCACCACAAAGACTGCACCGCATACGCTGCACCACGCATCATACATATTGCACCACACATATGGCTAAAACACACATTGTTTGGGGTCCACGCTGGCGAACCTATAAGCAGTATGAGTATGATGCCCTTTGCGCGACCAAAATTATGATTCGCCTTCTTCCCCCGCTCAGTAGGCTCACTGGCCCCCCTCGTCCGCCCACGTGTTTCGGGTCATGATGCGCCCCCGCCCTTTTTTCTGGCCCCCCCTCGGCGCATCCGAGCAAAAAAAATGGGGAAGGGGAGCGACGCCCCGCCCCGGCCGCGGGCAGCAGGCGGGGGGGAAGGCGCACGGCAGGGTCGATGTCGGCCCGACCGGACCGACTCGGGATCGATTCTGGCTGGCGCAGGGCGATCCGATCCCGATGTCCGATGGTCTGGCGGTCCGATGCGGGTGCGTGGCTTTGTGGTGCACGCCTGGCGCGCAGCCGATCCGATCCGACCTCGGCTCCGTGCGGGCGCGGGCCACAGGGTCCACGCAACATCCGCGATTGGACCCGAGCCTCCGCTTCGAGGCTGGCGGCCTCTGCGCAAGGGGGCGCCCACGCTGGGGCCCAACAGAAGTGTCGGTGCTTGTGCCTGCGGGTGCCTCATTTTTCAGTATCGATAAACCCATCCCCATCCCCATCCCCAACCAGACCCCAACACCTCATCCCCCCTCCCAGTGGGGAATATGCCCTTCGGAATCTGACGGAAACTGCCTATGTCCCCATCTAGGGGGTAAGCCGGCCAGTGGGGCCCAGGCCACGCGAGTGGGGATAGGTCGACGAGACGTAAGAGTGACCCTTCGCCGAAGTGACCTCTGGTGCGGGCACACATTGGGGCTCCCCGATCGCCGAACGCGAGGCGCCGGTGGCGTCTTGCGCGCCGGTGTTTGGCCACCCCGCGGCCCCCAAAAAAGCCGCGCACCCGTCCACCCGTCCTTCCTTTCCCTTGTCTTAGGGGCTGCACATAATACAGTACGCGTGGCAGGTAAGAAAGAATCCCCCAAGGGGGTACTGATCGACGGACGACGGGGCGGGTACCGGGGTTTGGATATACGTATGGATTGGCAACGTTGAGCAGATAGGAGAACAGTTCAAACTCTTGTTGTTGTGTTTTGTGTGTTGTGTGTTGTTGTTGTTGTTGTTGTTGTTTGTTGTTGTTGTTTGTTTGTTGCTTAGCCGACTGTGGTCGCTCAAAGGACGGTGCGCAGTCTGCGGCTGGGCCTCCCCGGCGCCTCGTGGAGGGCCCGCGTCCGCGGGGCGCTCTGGCAGCGCGGCTCGCCGCCACGCGAGCGGCCGCGGCCGGCCGGCCGCACCGCGTGGTCCCCCGGCTGGGGTGATGGGCGTGGTTTTTCCACCACCCCCACCACCATAAAGTTGGAGGGGGGGTCCTCCTCCTCTCCTCCTCCTCCTCCTCCTCCTCCGCCTCCTCCTCCTCCCCATCCTCTCTCGTCTTCGTCTTCCTCACTCCTCTCCTCCTCCTCTCGTCCTCCTCCTCTTCGTGTTCCCTCTCCTCCTCCTCGGCCCTCCTCGCCCTCGTCACCCTCCTCCTCCTCCTCCTCCTCCTTCCCTCTCCAACTTATGGTGGTGGCGGTGGTGGAAAACAGGCTCATCATAGGGTGCTCCTGCACGGATGAAATGGGAGAGGGGGGGGGGGGGGGCACCTGAAGGGGAGGGGGGTGGTGGCGAAGGAGGACGGCCGTGGGCCGCGGGCTGCGCGGGACGCCCCGCGGGGTCTACCCTGACTGGGGTGCTTCCTGCCCCGGCAAGGGGGGGGGGTGGGGTGGGGCAACCCGGTGGGAGGGGGCCGGCGGAGGAGGGACGGACGGGCCGGGTGCGGGCGCGGACGCCCCCAGGGTGGTCTCCCTGACGGAGGTGTGTAGGGCGTAGGTGGCGTCGCGCTGCTCGAGGCGCTGGCTGTCGGCCCGGCGGCTGCGGCACAGGAAGCCTGCTGCGGAAGCGGCGGTGTCGGGCATGGCGCCCCGGGGATCGCAGAGCTGCAGGCCGCTCGTCGCAGGATCCGCCGCTCCCGTCGATATGCTCTGGCACCTGGTGTTACGTCGGGCCTATCCCTCCTCTACAGGAGGGGAGTTTCCAAATGGGCAAAACATAGTCTGGGGACGATTTGTCGATTCTGCTGTGTTTTCTGCGCGCCCTCGTCGTTGATGGCGTCCTGCAGGCGCCAGTTCTCGACGTCGCTTTCGCAGTCTTAAGCCGGGCACGTCCTTCTACAGGCGGGAAATCTACAAATAGTAGAACAACAGAAGAAGTCGGCGGACGATGGCTCGATTCTGTTTTGCCCATCTTGGGGTATCTTTATATTTCGTCGAAAATCCGCCTGTAGGAGGGCATGCCAGACCTAGTCGTAGTCCTGGGTCGCGCCAGCGCCAGATCGAATCGCTCCCGCCAGTTACCGTCGCCGTGCGTCGGCGCCAGGGCGCTGGAGCCCGAGCGCGTCCAGGTGCTTCTCGTGGGCCTCTCGCGCGGCCGCCGGGATGCCGAGACTGGCGCAGTACAGCCGGCGCGAGGGCTCGAGGACAGTCCTGGCTTTAGGTGGGGATGCCCTCATGTCGGCGCCATCCCAACGTACTCCTACTCCTAGTTGTGCGTCGCCCCCCCAGGGGCGACGCGCGCACCAAGAACTCTTGTAGTATGTGCGTCGTGGCGGGCGCTTTCTGGCCCGACCGCTCGGGAAACGATATACTACAAGATGGGTCTACAGTCGGGGCCCTGAAGAAGGAACCATTTTCGTTGGGGAGGGGCTCCGCGTTCCTTAAGTGTTTTACAGCTTGCCTCAGGTTTCCCTATTGCTTTCGATAGCAAATCGAAGTTTAACTTATGGAAAAAAGGGGCCTCGTTCCTTATTTAGGGTTCCTTAGGTCAACGCCCCGACTGTATTGTATTTTCGGGTCGGACGCGCGCCTCAGAGGATAAGGATGCCATACGTTCTGCGTGGTTGGGCTCTCCGCCTCGGAGTGCTCTTCGTTTCTCGGCACCTCCATGGGGCATCGGCCCCTTCGGCAAAGGGGCCCCACGTTCTTGTAGCCGAGCTGCGACGTTACTAGGGGAACGAAGAATGACATAAACATAAAAACGCGGAGGTCCGCGCGGATTTCGCGGATCGGCGCTGGACCCCCCTCCCTGGCGCGCGGAGCGCGCCAGGGGCGGCGCCGGAGGCGCCGCCGGGGGGCCCCAGCGCCGATCCGAGAATTCCGCGCGCGGACCTCCGAGTTTTTATGTTCATGTCACTTTTTGTTCCCCTAGTTACGAGAGGCGATGTAGATTTGGTCCTTGACGCACATGAGGCCCCCCATGCACTTCGCGTGCGGTGGATACCCGTGCGCTTCGTGGCCCTGCGCGTGGCCGTGGTGCCCAGGCGGCTCGGGAGCGTCTCCTCGCGGCTGGCGCGAGGATGCCCGCCAAGATCTGGGTGGGCGCGGTTCGGCACGACTCCCCAGGCCGTCCAGATGTGGTCGAAGTCAATGGGAGGAGGAGGAGGAGGAGGAGGAGGAGGAGGAGGAGGAGGAGGAGGAGGAGGAGGAGGAGGCGGGAGGAGGAGGAGGAGGAGGAGGAGGAGGTGGAGGAGGAGGAGGAGGAGGAGGGGTCGGTGGATTGCGCCGCATCGGCGATGCTGCTCGATGTGGAGCCCGATTTTCTCCACGCCGACGTCGCCGATGCATCGCCGGCGTCGCCGATGCATCACTGATACATCGGCGACGCATCGGCGATGCGGCGCGATCCTTCGACCCCATTTGCTCAGTCCCAATCTGGGCGGCCTCGAATGACGAGCTTGCGCCATTTCTTGCGGTCCGTACCCGCGTCGAGGTCCTCAGCGAAGACCGGGCTGCCCATCCGCTGCTGGCAGTTGATGAGTTCCTGTCCGAGTTGCTGTTCTCACGTGCCTTATTGCTAGCTCCATCCGCACCTCCCAGATGATGAAGCCCGACGGTCGTCGCATGTACACGGCCACGCCAGTAGAGGTTGCGGTACAGTCAACCGAGTCTGGGGCCATTGCAGAATGAGCGGCCATTTAAATAAGTCATCTCTCGCAGGACTGCTTGTCTATGCGGCCAGATGCTCCAGTTCATCTCATGCGCACGGCACTTGTTGTAGCTCAGTGGCCTCACCATTGCGTCGCCGAGTCTGTCATCGTGCTGCTATGTCCGCTCCCCCTTCTCCCCTCCAAAGTTGCGCTGGGAAAATCAACAGTCAACCCGCATTGTAAGGATGGGCAACCTTCCCAAGGGCATCCTTGCATCCCTTCCCCTTCGGCCCATCCTTAGCGACTTTCGCTGGCCAACCTCGTTCGATAAACGTTAACATGGGCCTCCAAGGCCCTTGCATCCGTACCGCGCATCCTTCTGATACGGGTTGACTGTACATGCCTCCCTCAGGACTCTTGACATCGGTCTTGTGGAAGTTGACGTCGTTCTGGCAACAGGACGAGAGCGCTGGGATGCCACCTCCGAACCCTACCCCACCACCCCACGATTTCGAAGGGAGGAGGAGGAGTAGGAGGAGAAGGAGGAGGAGGAGGAGGAGGAGGAGGAGGGAGGGTGAGGAGGAGGAGAGGAGGAGACAAGGAGGGATGATGATGAGAAGGGGTGAGGAGGGATGAGGGAGGAGGGGGAGGGAGAGGGAGGGAGAGAGGAGGGGGGAGGGAGGCGTGAGAAGGAGGAGGAGGAGGGAGGCGGGGGAGAGGCTGAGGGGAAGGAGGGAGGAGGAGAGAGAGGGATGAGGGAGGAGGGAGGAGGGGAGGAGGAGGTAGGAGGAGGTAGGAGTGGAGAAGGAGAGGAGAGGGAGGAGGAGGAGGAGGAGGAGCAGGAGCAGGCGCGAGGGAGCGAAGAGGGACGGGGGGGGGGGGGATGGAGGGGGAGAGTATCGAGTCAGACAGATCGAGCGAGTTCGCGGGGGTAGGCTTCGCATGTGGCCTCCTAAGCGTGCGATCCAGTCGCGCCTCGTGCGTCGCGGTCCAGGGGGGACTTCCCCTGTCCTGGGGGGGGTCGGCGCGCAGACTCAAGGATGACCCCGCGCTTCGCGCGTCGCGGGTACTCCATGCCCGAGGCTACCCTGAAGTCGGGCATGGCCCTCACTCTACAAGAGGAATCTTCAAACATATACAAAGAATGCTCATGGGACGATGCTTCCACTATTCTTGTCCCGTCTTGGGTATTTCTTGACTCTTTTTCATTTGTCTTCCAAAGTCTGCCTGCAGGAGGACATGCCCGACCCAAGGCTATCCTGGTGATGCAGCGCCCTGCGGGTCTGCGTCGCTTCGCGAGCCTCCTCGAAGTTCGGACTGGCACCCCTGGGAAGTGGCAAGGTGATCCATGCGTCGAGGGCCTCGGGGTGCGCGTGCACGGTGGCCATCAGCACGGCGCGCTGGCGACTGTACATGTCGGCCTCGGTCGCCAACTTCCTTCCTCCCTCCCTCCCTCCCTCCCTCCTCGTCTGGCAGGCCTTCCAGGCGTACAGCGACGGCTCCCTGGACAGGGCGGCCTACGAGGAGTCGTTGCTCAGGTACCCTGGACCATCCCAGTCCCCATCAGGGTCTGGCTCGGCCGTCGATCTCTCGACGGGTCGAGGAGGAGGATGAGGAGGAGGAGGAGGCCTCACGCCTTGCCGCGCCGGTGGACGAGGAGGAGGATGAGGAGGAGGAGGAGGGGAAGGAGGAGGAGGAGGAGGAGGAGGAGAAGGGGAAGGAGGGGGAGGAGCACGAGGATGATGATGATGATGATGATGATGATGATGATGATGATGATGATGATGATGATGATGATGATGATGATGATGATGGTGATGGTGGTGGTGGTGATGACGATGATGATAATGATGATGATTATGATGATGCTGATGATTGTGGTGATGATGTTGATGATGGTGATGATGGTGATGATGATGGTGTTGGTGATGGTGATGGTGCCGGTGATTATGATGCTGCTGATGATGACGATGAGGATGATGAGGATGATGATGATGACGATGATGATGAGGATTATGTTGACGATGATGATGGTGATGACGATGATGGTGATAATGCTGATGACGATGGTGATCATGACGATTATGATGAGGAGGATGAGGAGGAGGAGAGTGATGACGATGATGATGATGAGGAGGAGGAGGAGGAGCATGATGATGATGAGGATGAGGATGAGGATGAGGATGAGGATGACGATGACGATGACGATGGGGATGACGATGACGATGATGATGATGATGATGACGATGATGATGATGATGATGATGATGATGATGATGATGATGATGATGATGATGATGATGATGATGATGATGATGATGATGATGATAGTGGTGATGATGATGATGATGGTGTTGATGATGATGATGATGATGATGACGATGATGGTGATGATGATGCTGATGATGGTGATGAGGAGGAGGAGGAGGACGAGGATGATGATAATGATGAAGAGGAGGAGGAGGAGGAGGAGGAGGAGGAGGAGGAGGAGCGAGGCAGGCACGCAACTCGCAGAACATGATTAAGACTAACGACTTTGTACGAGCACCGAGGAGCTCTGAGAGCAGTGTCCTTCCCGCCCCTGTGCCACCTCCCGAAAGGCCCTTCTCCTCAAATCACGCAGCTGGGCAGGCATCGGGTGGTACACAGGATCGGCTACCGCATCGCGCGCACTCGGCCCCTCGGGAAGGGGGAGGGAGCGAGGGAGGATGCACGATACCGAGAAGGACACGGACCTGATATCCCCAGCCTCGAGGGAGGAGGTCGGCAACGAGAGGGCGGACAGAGGCAGGGACGCAATATACCTCACGCCTCCGGCACGTGCGC